GTCTTGAACCAAACCTCTGTCCTCTGTTTTTTTCTTTCCTTCTTTCTTTTTTTTTTTTTTGTTGGTGTTGTTGTTTTTCACCTTTTACTCTGAGCGTTCTCCCAGTGCTAGTCAGACTGATTGAAGCAGCAGAATGGAGTGTCACACAGTACAATTAAAGTCATCGATTTCTAAGCAGGTGGCTAAAAGGGATTTCTGTCTTCATTGACTGTTTGTCCATTTCCATTTTTTGATTATTTCAATTGATTTGAAGCCTGGGATGTGATGCCACCTCCAGTTAGTGGAGCCAGTATATCGGCCTCAACAAATCCTCAGGTGGGAAGAGGCTTTAGATGAACCATATTGGATGTTTGTTTTTTTTTTAATCATGTTTTTAATGAACATCTTGTTTTTATTTTTCTTTCTTTCTTATTCTTTCTCCTACTGTTGGATATGAGTTGGTTAGGACCAGTGAAGCCCTCTTTCCAGCTCCCTATGGTCTGCTGCTGGCTAAGCCTCTGTTAATTTCACTAACCACCTTGGCTATCTTCTCCAGAGTCATCATTAATCATCCCACTCCTCTCCTCTCCTCTCCTCTCCTCTCCTCTCCTCTCCTCTCCTCTCCTCCCCTCTTCACCCTTCCCCCACATCATTTACTTTTCTCTCCTTCAGTATTTCTCTTCTCTCTTCTGCTGTCTAGTGCTCCATATGTGGAAGAGCTGCAGTGATGAGATAACACCGACCGTCTTGATGGCAAGACTGCAGAAAGAAATAACGGGGAACCTTCAACGTGAAATTACTTGATGTTATTTTAAGTCTGCCTCGCTGACTTTAACACGAAGTCTCAGTAATCCACATAAAGAATATGCTTTTTTTTTTTTTTTTGCAATTGCATGTGCCGGCCATTAAATGTCAGAAAATCCAGCAAACAACGGCACATGAGCTTTTTCATCATCTTTGATATGTGACTGAAACCTTGGACTTGATATTATGAAGAATTAACCATCAACAGTTATCACATTATACGACTCATTTAGTCTCCAGTGATGAATTATACTGTAATACCACTGCATCTGTTATCGCACGAAATAAGCAGTGTTAGCTTCAGTATTGAGAATAAAAAAAATCGATATTAGAATTAGAAATCCAACAATGCTGTGAGTACATGTGTGAGATTGGGGTGATATGGCACATGACTGCAAATGTGATGAATTATTGAAGTGCCATCTTGCAGCACACGGTTGCCAGGCCTGTAATTCACCATGATATCTACTCTGTAATGAAGTGTTCCTATGTTTCTTGGAAAATAGATTTTAAAAGACAGGTTCTTAAAAGTATTTCACTATAATGACATTATCATCTTATCTATGGCAGTGACCAGAAAATGTCATTCTTTATACTGTAGAATTCTGTTAAATGCTACACCTTAAATCTCAGTCTTTATCATCCAAGCAGACCAGAATCTTTAACCAAAAGACGGATCCAACAAATATTAACTTGAACTGAAAACACAAAAACAAATAAAAAGTCAAAGCAGAATTAACGACACAGAGAGTGGCTCGGCATCTGATGTCGTTTTAGGAAGTTCAGTGAGTTCACCAGCAGAAATGATGTCATCGCTAATCACATTCAAACCTTATCCCCAATGCCTTTTATATTGTCCTTTGGATCGGTGATAAAAATGCCAGGGTGCACATCCATAGAAGCAGGATATTTAAATCCTAATGCCACACCAAATACTTTTGGTAAACAAAACGACACAAATGTAAAATTACTGGCACGTATTTCTACTTTGAGTCACTTTGGCGTGATTGGTATTGGGTTGTTTTTACAAAACATTCTTTTTTTTATTTTATCTTAAACCAATTGTAGAAGTTTGAAGAGAAGAAGACAGTTTGGAAACCTCATGTCAAGAGAAAAATAAAGCTGTTGTTTTGTTCTTGTGTTTCAAAACACCATTTTGATCGTTGCTATTTTACCTTCCTCCACTTCATCTCTCTTTGTCCATCTTCCATTTATTCCTGACTGACACACTAAGCAGGAGCCCTGAGTGACATTTCCCAAAGCAACAGAATCGAGTGCTGTTCAAATGAATCAAATGTACCGTGGACTAACACGGCGGTGACACAGTTTGGGGAAACAGAGCCGGGATGTTTAAGGGTGAGAGAATTCTCACAGTCACAATCAGTCTACAAACACCGCTTGCACTTTACTAGTTCATCTTTATTCACAATGTTAGACGACATCTGACATTTCAGCGAAATCATGTCCCTCCCTGTGTCACTGTGCAGGGACATCCCTGAACACGGGCCGAGGACGAGTGACATTTCTACACAGAGAAGCTGGGATTCGGAGCTCAGTGCTGTAACTTTAAGGGCAGCTATCAACAGACATGGAAGTGAATGTTTATTACTAGTTTTTGAAGCCTCTTAAAATAATAATCGTTGGAGTTCTTTATATGGAAACTGGGTCTTCTTTCCTAGAGTCTGTCTTTACAGTAGGCCAGCATGGACACTGGCTCTCAGTGGAGCTCTATGACTTTTCAGGCTGTCGGGTGGCCACTATAACTTTGATGTACACCTAGAATTGGACTACGAGTCAAACTAAACTCAGGTGGTCGTAACTTCTGCTGCAGATGAGACAAGACTCAACATATGATCCGGACGATTAAAAAAAAAACAAAAAACGTTGTCTTATTTTTGTCCTGTGTATTATGGCTTCCCTTTTACCACATTGTATTCACTGAGACACGGACGTTTCTTAAAGGAAACTCTTTAATTTTGCATTAAGGTCAGCAAAGACGGACCTTTCTTTAATAGGTGATATGAAAGGAGACGGTCTGACAGTGAGCGATTATGCAAATAGTAAAAACTAGAGCTGTTCTAAAGTTTATTTTAGAAAAATATCTTTAGGGTTTAGTCCTCAGGAATTGCCTTGAAATGATGCGTTATTAGAAAACACCGGGTCTAAATCTTCTGAATAATTATTTGGATCCCATGTCCGTGGACATGGTCTGTGTGGCTTCATCTTTATGCTTTTTGGTTCAAGACATGGTTCACAGCAGGAGCTCGGCTCTTTGATACACTAGCCAGCATACAGTAGCATTAGCTCACGTCTGACTCAGACATGTCTGTCGCAGGGTGTATTTATTTTTATACAGTGGGCAATCCATAGTCTCCACTCCTAAATATATTTTTATTCTTGTGGATGTTTTCCCGGGTTATTCATATATATATGTATATATATATACTGTACATTACAAAAATGCATCAGATCACTCATGTTATTGACTCTGTATTACAAATGAAAGGCACGCGACATGCTGCAGTACTACTCACTACTATTACTGTACCTGAGCTGAGTAGTTATTTTTAGATACTCTTTTTTAAACAATTCTCTATTTAAAAAAAGATGTGTTTTGTATAGCTGTGTGACATTAGTAACCAAGTCCCCCGTGGAGGATGTTGTGTGTCACTCCACAGTGTCCACGTCGCCACCCACCAAGTGCCTAATGAGGTCAAATGATGAATTACACAGTCAGTTTAACCTAGAGGGTTCAGACTGCGTACACAGAACAGAACAGGTAGAATTCCGTGTACGATGAAAACCAGGACACCGACATGTGATGCAGCGAGTCAGTGCTTCTTCCCACAGGCCTGATCACACAAACCAGGCAACAGACCCACAGGGCAAAACACGTGAAAACGTTTAAAAGAAAATGCTGATCTAAGGGCCTGACATACACTACACATACAACAGCCAGAACAGAAACGTACAACTGCAGTGAAGCCGTCGAGCAGACACTTAAGTTCACAGACAGTGCAGTCGCCTCTCTGGAGCGGGGATTAATTGCTGAATGGATTAAGGCACAGTGATTGACAGTGGAGCTGCAGCGTTGAGGAGATGTTACAGACACAAATGTAGAGCAACGTAAATGCGAATAAGTGATGAATTTACTTATGAATTTTCTTAGGTCCGTAGATTAAAATTGGCAAATTATTGCAATATTGTGTGCATTTCTTCATAGCTAAGTTCGACTAAATAATAGCACACGAAACGTACTGGCGTCCACAGCCTGCTGTCACTGTGACAATATACATTTTACTATTTTTATGTATCTCTCAGGTGCATACCTTATGTTGCATAACACTTTCCTATGGAGACTGAAAATGACCACAGGGCTTACTAAAGCAAGGCTGTATAGCAAACAAAAGAAGATTTTTCAATCATAAAAAACAAGCAAACAAAGAAGAAGAAAAAAACACAATACCTCAGGTAGCTATAACTCGAAGGTAATAATTTTCCCTCAGGCTGTGGGTGCAATGCCAGGACAAAGACATTTTATCACAAGAGAGCCACACACTTAATATAGCATAAGGAGCAGTTCAGAATTTGCCTGTGGTCACAGAGGTCCACTCTCGTAGCCCACTGCTGCCTAATGACCACCGTGGCACCTTGAATGACAAATAAATGTTCTTTTAAGTCTGACAAAATGCCTAATGCATCACTAATAAGGTTAATTCGAGTCCGACTGGACTGGAGGCATTAACCCGGGCGTTTATCTGCTCACTGTTGCTCCCTTTTAGACTGACAAATAGTCTTGGAGGTGACATTACAAGAGACATTACGTAGAACCTAAATGTCCAATTTGCTCATCAGGATTGAGCCAAATGAACACGATAAAATCATTAATTACTGGTTGTCTAGTATATGCCAGTGAAGTACCACAGAGAAGATGTGTGAGAGTACCACAGTCAGTGTACATGATGTACACATCCGTTTAGTTCTGCATGAGAACAGCATGGTTGCAGGTCTACATGTCCCCATTTCCCTGAAACGATTACAATTACCAAATTCACTGGGGCCATCACAGCGCAGCACAATGGTTCTCCAGAACCAGATGATGAACCTCTTTAATTACAAATGGCAGACTTGAATGAGCCATCCTTCAGAGGTGACTTGGTGCTATTCAGTCACATGGACATGCAGGAGAGCTAAACTAAAGGCTGCTGTCAAATTCACCGGGGCTACTGTTGCGTAGACTGGGGCAGATAAGACTCATTTGAATATTTTCTATATAGCTGTGCTGCTTTATCTCTGATTCGCCCGTGCGGCGTGCTTATAAAGTTGTTGCGCGATGCAGCACTACTGTTAATCAATAACAGGCTGCTTGCACTGCTGAAAAATTTGGAAAATTTGTCTCAGATCTTATTGACATCTCCTTAGACTGCAGGGTCGATAATAGACCGTACAGATTCGGGAAGTCAGCTTTTTAAAATCACCTTAATTCACCTTTTATTTATTTGGTCTGTGAAAATGACAGAACATAGACAAACCTGTTGTTAGCATCAGGAGAGTTAACTGCAGTCTCCAGACAGTGACTCATTCTCATACTATTCATTCAGATTACTTCATGATCATCTGATTTACTGATCAGGACTTTGAGATTTTAAGCCATGTCAAGTTTATGTGTAAAGACAGTATTGACAAAACATGTATCTTCAGTGGATTTAACAGATTTTACATGAAAAAAACAACAACAACAATAACAGAACCAAAAAAAAAAATCATCAACGTCAAACAATGTACTAAAGTCAGTTTGAAATCTTCTTCATCTCATTCATCTTGATCTCAGTGAGCCGGGCTGACTAAGATTAACAACTACACACACACATATTCAGATACAGCCAAAGTTCTTGCCTCTGCACTACAAGCATATAATGATGGATACTGTCTGCTGGTTGTCAGGACTATTTTGGGACTGTGGCCTGTGACTGGCCCTCAGGTAGCCTGTGATCAGCTTTGTCATCAAGTGTGACACACTCCCTTGGACACTTACACCTCAGAACCCTAATAGGCCATGGTTACTTCTCTGAGGAAAAGTAGAACTTCACAATATCAGCTCTGAACTTTGAAAGGTTAGGGTTAAATCAGAAGATGTCAAATACTGTAACCTTGAAATGAGTGGAATGATTAAAGTCTGAGCTGGAAAAGGAATCAATTCTCACTCTAAATGTCCTTATTTGATTAATTTATTGAAGCAGCAAAGATGTAAATATCTTTATTCTCCAACTGCTTTGCTTCTGCCCTTCTTGTTTCAGATTTCACATCTGGTTTTATTTTCTGCTTACCTTTCCAATTTTTTTACGCAGCCGCTGCACGGCGGAATCCTGCAGCTTGTGGCCATTGTTCAAACCCACGGAAACGCACACGTACATGATCACATCACAGCTTCCTACTTCACTTTTTTTTATCTTGTGCGCATTTAGATGAGGGGAGGAGAGAAGAGGAGAGGAGAGGAGCCTCCTGGAGAAGTTTTCACTGCGTGCGTCAAAAGTGCGTGAGGATCGTTGCGCATTGGACGACCAGTGCTGGTAGTCAGTGCTGAGTGAACGGGATGTGGAGGAGGAGAGAGACTATACATTAACTCCTGCTGGCTGCAGTGGACTCCAGTTGGACAGAGGGATGCGTGCAGCGCGACACCGACCGATTTTGAAAGGATAGAGCCGCGGACGGAAGAAGATTTTGCGTATTTCTCGCTTTTGGCCACCCCGTGATTTCCAGGGGATTTTTACGCACCGACAGAGAGTGAGGAAAACGCCGCAGAGATGAGTGGTGCATGGTTCAACGTGCTCCAGAAGGACCCCATCTCCTGATACAGGGACAGAAGGGGACAGAACAAGGCTGCACATGTGATTTTCCCAAAGAAGATCGCCAAGGTGGAGCGATTAAGGAAGGGCTGATGACGGGACTATTAATCCTTTCAGTGCATCAAAAGCACCAAAGGGTACTGGAACCGTTTGGATGGAAATTGGGCGAGTGTTTAGAACTATTTTTGGTTTTGTATGAAACTGGTGATTAGTCGTTGTGGCACATCAGAAAGGATCTTGTCTCTTTTCCTCTCTGAAGATTTGTTAAAGGAGTAAATGTAGCTTTTTTTCCCCTCCAACGACAGGTTTTATGGCATGAGCGGTTCCCTGGTGTGAAATCCCAGAAACTCATCTGAATCTTTTTTTCTTCTCCAGTATTCCTAAATCTAAATGGAATTGGTTGAGACTGAAGCCGGTTGTGAAAGGAACAGACATGGTACATGGGCACAGCTTTTATCACGGTAAGACGCTGGTAGTCATCAGTTGAAACGCACTTGGTCGGAATCCTTACATGATGCTTACGTCAAAGACGTAAGCATCAAACGAAGTATGGAAGTATTCTCTGAGATTTTGAAAACTTAAAAATACACAGCAGGGGATGTAAGTGGCGGAGTGGACAGCTGTTGATTCATTCTGTGAAAAATAACGGTGATGCACAGACAGTGCCTCATACAGTAGAGGGTGAAAAACTTAACATTGAAAGGCAAGGTCACTCTGCAAGTTACTGCATTTTCTCCTTCTGTTTCTGTTAATAACCGTTTTCTTCCTTCTTTTCTCCTTTCATCTTTTCTGTTTACACTTGGCTCAGTTATTCTTGCATCATCATCTGTACAAGTCTGCTCACAGAGTATCAGTGTTAACCAAAAATATGTTTTTTTAAAAACATCAAGATAATGCATATATTTTTTTTTCTTCTCTTGTCTCACAGTTGTTGCAAGTCTTCTCATACTTGGGTTGTCTGGGGCAACAAAGAAGGATACAGCAGGTATTCTCCATCACTACACCGTAGATGTTTATGCCCCACCATGGCCCTGCACTTTCATCTCTGTCTGTTTTTTCTCTCTCTATATTATATTATTTAGTGAAAAACAATTCTGGAGTGAAGCCTGTGGGTCAGTGTGGAACATGGGTAAAAGAACCAGAAGGAGGGCTCTTTACGTCTCCAAACTACCCCAACAAATACCCCCCAGAGACAGAGTGTGTTTACATCCTTGAAGGTAAATATGAGCGGTGGGAAAAATAAATCAAGTGATGACCATTTATCCTCGGCTCCGCAGCATTCCTGGAAGGAGTCCTTGGAAGTGGTTGGGAGAGTGTGCCTGGGGGAGAGAGCATGCGGGGTCGGTGCAGAATGATGACATGTATCAGATTATTAGACATGGCTCCTTCAGGTCATTATTTTGAATTTATTTTTACATTTGAATTTTATTACTCACTTGATTTATCACTTCTGATAATGAGATTGTGATATAAGTGAAGGGACTAATGAAAGTGAACCATCACGACACTGGCATTTCAGTCATCCACTGACCATCAGCCAGGATTAATCAATGAAAGCAAAGGTGAATATTTGACTCTCTGCTTCATCCTCTAAGGTAATTGTTTTCTTTCTTTCTTTTCTTGTGTCTTTCAGCGCCCCCTAGGCAGTGTATTGATCTACATTTTGAGGAGAACTACTCAATCGAATCTTCTTGGGAATGTAAATTTGACAATATCGAGGTCCGGGATGGACCGTTTGCCTTTTCCCCAATACTTGGACGCTACTGTGGTCAGCACAGCCCGCCTGATATCAGGAGTAGCGGCCGATATCTGTGGATAAAATTTGTAACGGATGGGGAGCTGGAAGCCGTGGGATTTTCAGCAAGTTACAACTTCACTGCAGGTAATCAGTTTTGTCTTCCTGTTTTGGTGAAGCATTTGTTCCTTTGTAAACACAGCCATGCTTTATAGCTTCAACGGCAGCTCCAAATGAATAACAAACCTCATCCAGGGAAGATGGCCTTCAGGGAGCCTCCAGTGCTGTTATTGATTGTCTGTCTGCAAACACTCAGCATTTCCATTGGCAATATATTGTCAGTGGCTGAGGCACTCCTGTGACTTGCAAGCTGTTATTTCCTCTGTCTGTGCATTGTGGTGATGTGGAACAGTGTCAGATCTTCATTCAGTTCGTCAGCAACTGTCCCTGGTTCACAGGCGTAGGAGAAACTATGAAAGCGTGGTAGGGTAATCCGAATCGTCCCACACAATCGAAGTCTTTTTGTGTGTGTTAAACCTAGCTTTTTCTCAATTTGCACTTTCTGAGTTGCTGGTGCTGTACTGTTGCACGGCAAGGAGGAATCACGATTTAAAGTTTCTGCACCAATACATGACTTTTTATTATTATTTTGGGATTGACGCTTAAAGGGCACTGTGCCAGGAAGCACAAATGGTGTACCCATTTGTCTCCACATCCACTCAACCTTCAGGAGATTTACAGTTAGTGTGGCACTGTTTACACAGAAAAGACATTTTTTTATGAGAAAATTATACCTGTTGAAATATAATCTAGGGATTTTGGACTTTGAACATCTTCATCAGACATAATGTGTTGCACTTGTAGTATTGCAGGTGTGGTGTTTCATTAACAAGCCTTGTTCAGGATCTTTTACCACACACAAGGTAGCATTTAGCGGCATGTTAACTGTGCTCTCAGGAATGAGCGATTCCTTTAATGAGAGCACTAACATTAACTGTGTGCTGTTTTGCCAGCAGTTTCACTGAAATACATGTCTGTCGGCAACTCGCAGCAAAACTAGACCACAACCTGGAGAACACATTTGAATATTTTACTGTAAGTCTGTTTCCAAAACCTTCACAAATGTGAAAATAGAGAGAGTAGATTTCACATTTTACATTTGTTGGTGCAATTCTGCCCCTAATGATACCTTGATCCATATGTGGCTCTTTAGCCTGTTTGCCTTGGTTTGTGAATGGACCAGATTAACCAAACTATGCTTAATATATACTGAAAAACACATCTATGATTCAGCCATTTAATTTACTTTTACAAAAGTCATTTTTGAACCAATTTCACACATTCAACTGATTTTATCAACTTGTTTGCTAACAGCAAAATCACATAATGGCTTTGTCCTCTTAACAGATGATAAGATGTGCACTTCTTACATCCGGCCACTGATTGTGGCATACTAAATATTGAATGCTTGGAATTGATCATGAACTCCATGTAGAAATAAGTATTTTGTGTTGTTTCTGTGGTACAACAGGTTGTACATCAACAAAGAAATATGTTTGTGACTCTTGGTGACTTTTATTCAGTGTTATAGTGAGAAAAATGCCAGTTTTAGTGTTAAGGGTTGAAGATGCACCAAACTGTCTGCGTGTTTGTTAATTCAGTCCATTACCCTTAAAATTCTCTTTTTTATATGTGGTCAGAATGACTCTGAGGACTGGGGTTAAATGTGTACATGTTAGGACAAATGGCTGTTAAAGAAGAAGTTATAGTCATAGAAATTATACACTGTTGTCTTTAAACCAGTCTTGATATCATTTTTTGCACTCTTCCTGTGCGTTTCAGTGAACTTTTTCTCGAGGAGAAAAGAAAGTCTGCTGCACCACTTGATAAGAAATATATTTGGCATTTGATTTACATAATTAAGGGAGATTAAAGTCCTAAATTCACTCTATTTGATGCTCTGAAATCTGGCTGCATGAATAGCGTCTCACATCTGCATCTGCTGCTCTGCCAACCGTAGTAATTCAAAAAGCCCTTCCCTGATGAATGGTGCTGACAAAAAACAGGCAACACAGGTGACATGAATCAGCTCTTCCTACTTCCTCTTCTCTGTCATTTTTAGGAGCCTGGAGGAAAAAAAACAACCTCTTCCGCTCCTTTAGATTCTGCCAGTGTTCCTTCAGAGCCTCATGCTCTTGATGACTAATGCACCTCGCACTAGTGAATGAAGAAGCAGCAACTGGAATCTTGCATTATCTAGAGTCATATTATACACACACATACTTCGGGGAAGCATTTAATGCCTACAGATGGTATGTGTTCACTTTCTGTGTGCGCAGGAAGCTGCTGCTGCAACAGACGCTGGAGGTTTACTCAGAACAATGACTAAATGAATTTGGCTGCCACATTGATGGGATGCACATTTTATTCGTCAAACAAATTACACCCAGATGCCTCGTGTTCGGGCTCTTCTTACGTCACCAACATCTCACAGTGAAACAGCAACCACTATTTTTTTTTTACCACCCCTGCAAAATACATTACAAGAAGTTTTCAAGGGTAAGAAAGTATATGAAGGTTGTATTAAATAATCACAATAATACTGGAATGAACACACTTCTCTCTCAGTTGTATTATTTAGCTTCTTGAAATCTTACCTCTTTATTGGAAATCGCCACGCATGGAGCATCGTAGCTTAGCTTGCATAGAGGAGATTGCATAGAGGAGATTGTGTCACCTTGTGATAGCATCATCAGAATGTATGGTTATGGTTTTTTTTTTTTTTTTTGCAAGTTTTGTTTAAATGGCTCAAATGACTGTATTATCAGCTGCTGCTTGTGAAGTCAGTAAATGTCACAACTCAGTGTGTTTTACTGTCAAGCAAGTCCATACAGAGAAGAAGGGGAAAAAACTAAGACAGCGTAGAAGACAAGACAATCAGTGTCTCAGATAAACAAAAAATAAATCTCTTCAGCCCAGCAAGAAAAACTGTACGTGAATCGTATTTTAACCTCTCTGTACTTCCTTAATATTGAGCAACCGCCTGCTTGGTGATTTTTCTTTGAGAACTCAACTTTCTTTTTCTTTTTTTTTTACTTTTATAGCCCATGCAGTTGCCAGATTTATGGTAACCTCATATTTGCAGTTCAACAAAAACGCATTTATTCCCCCAGTTGTACACAGTCTTCTCAGCAGGGAAAACTGTGTTTCCGCAGCTGTGTTTATATCATTGTGCAATTTTGTGTGCAGAGGTGTCGCAGGACTTGAGGACGACTCCAGTGTAGTGGTTGTCCTAGGGGGACACGACCTCAGTACCCTGTGGACTCGTAGATTAAGTGGTGTTTCTTCACCTTAAACCAATGCCAGCGCAAATAAAAGCTGCAGCTTCTCCTTTGAACCCACACTCTGGTCATTGAGCGTGTTGTTTACAGAGGTCTGGTCCTGAGGCAGGCGCACTGCTCTCATTTTAGTTCTCTGACAAACACAAACAAATTCAAATTCACTTTTGAAAAAAACAGTGCTACAGTAGTCTCTGCATTTATGTCACATATAACACATCTTAGTTGACACGAAACATCTTTCTTAGAACCTTTTGACTTTTGACCACTTACACTCTTGGAACATTATTTTGTTTTTCAATTTGATCTGTTAATTTCAAAAACCTTTGTTGACTTATTCCAGTTTGTACATTTTCAAACACATTAGGATGCTGCTCTAGCTGCCGTTCAGGAACTCCATCAGGAATTTGAACCATGGCTAATGGATCTATAATTTAGCTAACACTCATTGTAGAAAGCCCTTTACTGTAGAAGCCCATCAGGCACCATCAGTACTGAGAATTGTTCAGGAAGAAAATGAGTCACATGGTATTTATGATTAGAGCTGGAAGAGGATATATGAGGTCTATCATAAAGAAGACGGGGTCATGAGATTGGACCTAGATGGGCTCAAACTGGAAAATTGAAAATTGAACTGGAGAGATCGACTCTTCACTGTTGGAAAGAGCTGACTGCGGCAGCAGCACTGCTGGGATGGACACAAAAGTTCAGAGAAACCACAGTTTTGTCCAAGGATTTGCTGTTTGCAGCTCCAGTATATAGTCTTTTTGATTTTTAAATCATAAACACCCGGCACGTTTGACACATAGCTTTCAGTTCAAGGGTGAGTCAATATTTTAATAAATTAAATTCCCGTGGAAACAGTCGATCCTATATGATAGGCTCCAGGTTTTCTCTTCTATTTCCCTGAAACCAAATCCAATAAAAATTTCGTCCAATTGTCGTTCTACACTGCTATCACACCTTATGTCGTGGGAGTTAAATTTCATTTTCTATGGTTCGACACCGGTGGTGGCTCAGATTTATTGTGCAGGCAGAGGGAAGATGACATTCATAAGTAAGGAATTCTCCTGTGGTGCAGTTCCTTCTGCTCCTCCCTTCAGATCTCGTTGCACAGTTTTCAGATGGATATGTATTTGGATATAAATAGTAAAGTCAGTACCAACCACTCTTGAAATAAACAGTGATTGTCCTTATAAAGTTCTCCTTTACTGCGTTTTGTCATTGAAGTTGACTTAAGTTCTGCTCACATTATCTGGGACTTTTCTCCTTTATCGTTGGCTGCTCCCTACTGTTTTTCTGATTGTTACGGCGCTGTTTTTTTCTCCGGTGGGAAAATGTGCAGCCGTACACTGTTGCTCCCAGGAAAGCCTCGCTTGTGTAATGCAATTTTCCCAAAGTACAGCTATCAGCCGAATGACTTTGGCAAATAACCTCGTCGTCATCTCCGATTGTGTTTATTTTTGGTTGACTCACGTCAATGTTTGTAAAAATGCTGATCCAAAAAAATCCCTGTTTTCTTAAAGTCAGACTCACCCTTCTTTCTTCACACTATTTTTTTGGCCTTGTGGAATAGTCTAGGTGAGTCCCTCAGATCTAGACTTTTGCGTTTGGGATGTGGCTGCTTTTTCAAAACCAATCTCATTTAAAACGAGAGCAGTTCACAGGAAGGGAGGAGTAACAGTTGCTTCCTTTGAGCCTAGAAGACACCCCGCTCCCCTCACACTGCCTCTGTTTTTAGCAAACCGAGATGGATGAAGTGAGTTAACATTGCAGGCACACCACTTGCAGCTGTGGAAGAGGTCAGTC